CCCCTTCCAAAAAAACCAAACAAAAACAAACAACAAACAAAATTTTAAAAAAAAGAAAAAAAAAACCCAGAAGAAAAATACATACAACATCTAGGGGTTAAAATACTAATCAATGAATCTTTGCAGGTGGCTGGAGGGTACATCTAGTAGGCCCTATTTTATTTTTTTCTATTTGACCCTCTGTAATTTCGGAATGTCTTTTTAATTCTTTTCCCGTTTTTCCCGACGCTATATAATCGCTGTTCCATATGCTAGTCTCCACTCAAACAACAAATAACTTTGGGTGTCTCGTGGCCCAGAGGTTAAAGTGTTCGCCTCTCATTCAAATATCCCGGGTTCGAATCCGGGTAGCGACCGAAAAATTTGCTTCTCTAAAATTCCACCCTTTCACCTTCTTTCCTGCTCTCTAGCAATATTCTGTCATCCCCTCACCTCTTTTGCCCCCTCCTGGTAGGGAAGATCTTCACCTAGCCGTCTTAGAAATGGGCTAAAAATCTCGGAGGTACCGTGTGCAAGTTGCGCACGTTAAAGATCCCTTGGTGATGTAAAATCGATAAGAGTAGGCTTCGGCCGCCACCCTGGCAAAATTCAAAATTTTCTACTAACTGAAAATGTTTAATGTGTCCCGCGCGCTCATATGACCCTATGCAGTTGCGAACGCCTTAAAACACTTACAAAAAACCCACACAAAAACCCACAACAAAAAACAAACAAACAAATAACTTTAACTGACTTACCCCACACAGCCAGCAGACAAAGCAGCAACATCTTGTTAGACAACACAGTCATCCTCATCAACGTCATCGTCATCAAGACTTCCACAACCACACAATAAAACTTTACACAAATTACAGACAATTCAGTTCGAGTCCACCTGACTCTGACCCGTCTCTGACATAAGCGCAGCCTGGGTGTGCGGGAGTATATATATGATATCGACGAGACCTGAAACCAGACAGTCTCGACTCGCTGTGACAGGGCCCACAAAATGGGAAGTGGACCAAACTCGTGCGGTTGCCGCCTCGAAAGATGTTCAACATCTGAATCAGCTGCGTAGTGAACCCGGCTAACCGGTTATTCAATTATTGTTAAGCTCGGAGGGTTTAATTACTGTTATGAACATGCTATTTTATTTATTTGTTCATTTATTTATTCATTTATTAATTTATCAAAGTATATATATTTGTGACATGACACGGTGGAATCATATTGGACATATTGAGCTATTGGTATCAACTTGAAGATTGCTAATTTTTCTTGCTTTTGATGAAAATAAACAGCCATCTATCTTGAATAGAAACCGAGATATTTGCTATTGAAGGGGGTGGGGCTCACATTGCGTCAGAGGTAAAATGTCTTCTAAAGCTTGGTGACTTTCAAAGCTTGAGTGCCCTTGGAAACTGTCAACTTGCATTCTTTAAAGGTTTTTTTTTT